CCGGGTTCGGATCCTGGGCGCACACCGATGCACTGCTTGTCCGGCCATGCTGAGGCGGCGTCCCACAAACAGCAACTAGAAGGATGTGCAACTATGACACACAACATACAACTTTGGGGCTTTGGGGAGAAAAAGAGGAAAAAAAGGAGGAGGATTGGCAATAGATGTTAGCTCAGGGCCGATCTTCCTCAGCAAAAAAAAGAGGGGGATTGGCATGGATGTTAGCTTAGGGCTGATCTTCCTCACAAAAAACAAACAAACAAACAAACAACAACAAAAAAATATGTGAAACTGGATAACATTCCTGTGGGAGTTGGTTTCTTCAGTGCAAAGCACTAAATAGTAGGGACATAAGCCCTTCTATAAATTTGTCAAGCAAATAAAAAATGTTAGTAATAGAAAGTACACAGGTAATTTCATTTTCCTATATCCAAGATAGCAACAGAAGGAAACAGGGCTGTGGCATGTCTAGAATTCTCAGCAGTTCTCAAGATTGTTACCATAATTCTAGCAAAACTCACTAACAGGTATATTTTATCATAAAATTTCTTACAGAGAGCCCTCAGTTTCCTTATCTCAGTTGCCTTCTTCTAACCTTCCTCTTCAACCTGGCAAAGGACAGAAAAATGCCTACTCACAATGTCAGTTTGTCTACAGACACTGCAGGGGCATGCCTGAGAAGAAGCCTATCCTGAAATGAAAGTCAGTTATCTGATATATAAACTGATGTCTGAATCTCAAGAGCCTGACTTTCTTCTAATAAAAATTGTTTGGTTCCATAAGCCTTATGGATTCATGTCTTTCAAAATGCGCTCCAAATACAAATCTTAAAATCTTTCATAAAAAGAGTTAAAGTGTACTAATTGCTTCAGGGAATACAAAAACATGTTAAGCAGAATCCTTGCTTTCAAGAAAACTGTCTCCCTTGCTAGAATGTGAACTCCAAGAAGGCATGGACTTTCTCAGTCTTGTTCATCACTACATCTCCAGCATCTAGAATAGTACTTAGCAGACAGAAGGTGATCAAAATATTTATCAAGACATGAATGAACCAAGGAGCATTAAAACAAAGACAACACGCTTTGAACACTAAGAGAATATGCCATGTTTAAATGTGGGATTATTCTAAAGCCAACAGACGTTTAAAAAAGGAAAAGACTAGGGCAGGCTAAAAAAGTCTGATAGGGAAGGAGGAAATGGTAATTAAGCCATCCTAGAAGGAAGGGTTTAGGTGGATGAGGAGGAGGGAAACAAGAATGGCAAAGACCAGAGATGGGAAGGACCAAATGTGTTAGGAGGAGAGTGAAGACGCTATGTGACCAAAGGACAGGGTGTATGTTGGGAGCAGTGGAAGCTAGACTGAATGAGGAGAGTGAGAAAAGTGAGGGCAGACTGCAGAAGGCCTGGGAAAATCAGCAACTGGATCCAACTTGGTTGGGATTTACATTTTTAAAATCACTTTTTACATCTCCAATTTAATCTCTAAAGGAAAATGAGCCTCAGAGAAGACATAAATCTTAAAAAGCAGTAGAGAATGGGGCCAATAGCCAATCCTGGGGGCCCATGTAAAGGTAAAATTTGGGTTATAAAAAAGTCTTAAAAGTTATTATTAGTTCCATAGTTTACTAAAATTAATGATTCATCAAAGAATAATATAAAGTTACAGGCCTAAATTCACTAGCAATTTTCACACAAAGATAAGCCCTTTTCTTAAATAGAAACTCACTTCTAATATCACAGCAGGGTACATTTAATAGATTTCTTAAAATATTGTAACTGTTAACTAATATTAACCAGAGAATGACGTTATTCACTAATTCCGGAACACCTAGAAATACGTAGACATCCAAAGCTCCAAATGGTTCTTATTAGACAGTCACAATTTTGAAGACAGCTTCAGATAAACCTAACAATTGAGATGCTGTAAATATCCTTGCTCTTTCACCAATCTCTAGCTATATTTAGTAGCACAATTTCCTTTGTCAAGAGTTACTCCTGATAACTCCATATTTATGTTCTCAAAGGCAGAATACCTAGGATATATTAGTTAAATGAAGGGATGGCTGCATGGATGGACAAATGAATGAACCATCAAATGATTGTATTAAGATCTTTGAAATGTAATGGATATATGCTTCATATATGTGCATCCTAGATCTTTCTTGGCCAAGGCTAAAGCGTCCTGGATGCTTTCGCAAATATGTGTTCCATGTTAAGCTATAATCAGACTGGGATTAAAATGCAACAGAGGGAGTAAGAAAGTTTGTAAGGGAAGAGCATAATTCTAGGCAAGGGTGGTGGTGTTTATGAGAGCAGTGGGGATTTACTGTGAAGCTAATGAAGCTTAAGCTCAACCCTCATTTGCACAGTCCCCTTCCAGGGCCCACGAGAAGCCCTAGTAATGTGATCACATGGTCATATGCTTCTGTAAAATTTGCCAAAGTAAGGTATAATCAAATTCATCCTTCTAAAGAGGGCCCTCAAAATAAGTTTCAGGTCCCACATGACCTGGGTCTGCCCTTTCTGAGAGGTAGGAAGAGGCTGGTAGCAGGGGGAATACTGATAGTTAGAACATCGTCAGAGCAGTGGGAGTGGGAGCTTGGGGTGCCAGTCAAATTTCTGGGTGCCTTCTCATTCCTTTTTTAAAACACCATTTCCTAGGCTCACAGTTCTCATATCACGATTCCTTTCTGCTTTTACATCTTTGCAAATGAAGTCACAGGAGACATTCAGCTGTTACACACTTCATGTCAAGCTTTGAAGTCTTTTTAATAGCAGAAATATTTGGCTCACGTGTGGGCTTTGTAGCTATGGTAAATACCTCTTCGTTATCTGTCGCTACTGTTATTCCACACCTCCAATTTGGAGGAGAAATTCTGCATATGCATTGAGGCACTAAAAAAGAATATTGAACTATATCTTAGCTCTTTTGTGAATGGTTTCCTTTTATTTCTTCTCACATGGAGCTAATGCTTTCATCATATTGTACTGGTTATGCGTGGGAAAGCAGTGGATGGAAGGAGAATGCTGATTATTACATCATTGGTAGGCAGTTTCCTCTTAGCTTCTTAAAGGTTAAGTGGTCAAGTAGCTCCTTAATATGAGATCAAGTCATTTCAAGAACTGACTCATCCACCTGTTTTCTAGCAAAGTGCTTTAGTAGACTTTGGACAAAATGCTTGCGATACTTAAGAGAAGAAACTGACCACAATCAATATGAGATAAAGACAGAAAACCTCTCATCCTGGAGGTTCCTGTATGACTATTGACATATAGACTATATGTCCAGGTACATATCAGAACAATATATTTAGAAATAGTATTTTTGAGAACACATAAATAGAAACAAAGGCCATGTATTAAGCATTTTAGATATGTCCTGTGTTGAACAAAGACATTTTGCCTCTATAAGTAACTTAATTATTTTATGAAGAGATGACAGAAAATACTATTGCACTCCATAAGTTAGACACTTGACATTTTTATTCCTCAAAAGGCAACATTTTAGAATTCTAGATACGTCTATTAATTAGTGATTATTAACACCCAGTAAACAACATTATGTGTCGTAAAAACACAATCTCTCTTCACAGCATGATGCTGAAATCTATTATTCCCTGATTCCATATGCTGAAATACACTCAAATGGTCACAAATGACCTTAAGCATTAAATAAATGTAAATGAGGACAACACAGAAAATGTGCTTTTGATTGATAACTAAAAGACCAGGTTGAAAATCACGTCCAAAAATGAAGAGAATGGCAGTCTGTACTGTGGGTAAAAGCTGTCCTGAGAATGAAGGACACGCAGGTGAGAGCCGACTGCTCTTTCTCTGGACCTGCTAGAGGTTTTCTGGGAAACAGAACTGGTTTGTTCATTTATATGAGAAGCACAGAGCATACTGCCCCCTGTGCCATCAGCCTACTCTAAACATTCTAATGCAGGATTTAAAAATACACATTGGACACTGCATTACATTCACCAGCTAATATCAGAGAAAAAAAATTATTGCTATTCCATAGCCGCATCCCAGTATGTTGACCACTTCAGTTTTTAAGCATTGCTGCTGTTCATCCACCATTCCACCCCCAAACTGAGCAGTTGGGGTGGGAAAGCATCCTCAACACAGACAAAACTCAAAATGTCAAAGGAGGACAGATTAAAAGTAATAAATAAATTAAGTAATTAAAAATAGGATTGCTCTTCTAATAATGTCTGTGGTTAAACATATAAAGGAAAATTGACAAATACAGGTATGTCATGTGAAAACTACTAAATGATTTCTCATTCCTTTAGGTCCACACCAACAGGGCAAAAATAAAATGTAAACACATTTTACACAATACAAAATAAAATGCATCACAGAAAACACCATAGGTTTGGTTGAGGGTAAACATTTCTCCTAGTTTGGATAAGAATTAACAGAATCTAAAAGGCGATGGATACCTAGACTATTTTAAAATCATGGACGAGAGCAAGGTTTCTCAATCTTGGCACTATTGACATTTTGGGCCAGATATTCTTTGTTGTGGGGAGCTGTCTTGTGCATTTGTAGGATGTTTAGCAGCACCCCTGGCCTCCATCCCCAGATGCCAGTAGCACCCTGTACCCCTAGTCATGACATTAAAAAGTCCCCTGGGGCAAAATTGTCCCTGGGTTGAGAACCATTGGAATAGAGCCATTCAGAAGAACGTCCTAGGATGTGCTTTTCCCAACCTCATATTGTACACTCTCAACCCTTAAATCATTCCCAACTCAGTGTTTAATATACTTATCTTCAGTTTTTCTCATCTATTAATTGAAGATAATGAGCATGCCTGTCTGCCTCATTATGGGTTCTTGTGAGCATTAAATAAGATACTTTTAAAGTGCTTAGAACAGTGCCTGACACACAGTAAGTGCTCAATAAATTTTAGCTATTATCATTTTAAATAATCATCCATAGTATTGAGAAAAGCAGTTTCAACCAGAGTGCTTTAATGCAGAAAAGTGTCTTACCAGCTTGATATTTTCTGAGTCTTAAACACACCAGCCTTCTGATTCCTTGTGATGATCTCTCTCACATCTATAGGATATAGTTAAGAAAGCTTCTACAGTGATAGTCAACTGACTCCAAAAAAAAGGCCCATAAACAGGGATCTTCTTATTGTACCTGGGATCAGCACGGTGAACAGAGAAGAGCTGTAGGCTGTGAGGCATGAGAAGGGTTTAGTCCTGGCTCTACCACCAAATGTTGAACTACTGCCACAGCAAGCTCGTTTAATTCCCCGGGCTGCAGTTTTGTCATGAAACGTACATTCAGGGAGCATGATGACAAGGCCCAGGGTTATGGACGCTGTTAGGGGGAGATGACTGTTATAGGTGCCAGGCCCCACTTGCTTTAAAGAGCTAGGAGTTCGAAGGCAAGCCTTTTTCAGTCAGTGGGGAGGACAACGGCAGTCTTCTGAGACTTTCCAAGTTTTCCAGTCTCCTAAATGCTAGTAGGGAGGGTGGGATGAGCAGCAGGAGAAGACTTGAGAGGAGAGGAGACAAGAAACACGGAGCAAAGCTTGGAGAATCTTTGAGAGAAAACGAATTACTGAAGAAGAAAGTCAATCCAGTGAAAGGCCCCTTGAAGAATTGTCCTTACAGACTTATGCTTTGGCCATCTGCTAGCCTGTGAAGACTTGTACAAGAAGAGCCATATTTATTGAAGAGGTGTTCTGAGGAGCTGGTCCATTACGTCACACAGCACATCTTTATGAGGGCCCATGGGAAAAAATCATGTCCAATTTTAACACCAGGAAAAGCTAGACTTCAGATCAACTAGTTTTGCTTCAACTTCTGGATATTATAAATCTTATAACTGTCCCTCTTTCTCTTTTTGCTCTGGTCCCTGTGCAACTCAGAGGCAAATGTATGACTTCAGTCTAACAACCACAAATCTCCTAAGGTGCATATTGGCTGTACTGGCCTCCATTCCTGGCTGCATCATATTTTCCTGGCTTCCTCATGTCCAACTGCCCTCACTTTCTCCGTTATTGTATATGGTATATTCTATGTGTCACTGTAAGAAGCCTCAAATTCCCTCTTTTGGAATAAGGCAGATTTAAATAAACAAGAAATAAAATAATTCCCGTGAAGGCTGCAAGCTGAACTAAATTGGGCCCATGGGGAGGACACCAAGCAGACAAGTGATGTTCCCCTATTGCTCAGAAGAACAGATTTCCAGAATGCTCGAAGCAAGCATTGGCCAAGATCTCCCTCCAAGAACAGAGCCACAGGACTTTTTAACCTAAATCTCTGCTTGAAACACCAGACACACCCATTTCTCCTCTGAGTGAATAAGCAGGTACTGCGATGGCTTTCTTCCCCCAGGAGGGGGTAGGAAAGATCAATTAGGTCTCCTGATGCAGAGCTTTGTTGAGGTTTACAAAAGTGCTATAATGCAGACTTTTTTTTCCTGGGTGAACCTTCCTGTATGCAAATTAAATACTGTTAAATTACATTCATTAAAAAAATAAAAGAGACTCATTTGCCTACTTGTTTTGATTAACTTAAATGACACATCGGCCTACAGTTCTGTCTATTTCAGGAGGAAAGTATTTCAGGAAAGTCTTCTAAATGAAATGTCTTGTAGAAAAGGACAGCTAACATCTTTATTCCGAGAAGAACAAAATTAGTAAAGGATCAACTGACAACTGTTTTTGATTAAGCTCCCCCACACTCCGGCCACACCCTACTCGGCGTTTCCATGACATCCAACTGCATGCCACAATGTGCCCGGTACACCTGTCGAGTCGTATGAGTACATGACTAATCTATCAAACAAAACATATTATTTTGTTAGTGGAGGTAATACTTTTTATAAAATAGTCACAGGGAAGTTAAATTATATAACTCAGAAAACCTATTAATAATTTTTAGTAAACATCTTAACACTATATACTTTTATACAATTTATAAACCTGTGACTCCAGGTGGTCAGGCTGAAGCAAGCATATATATTTATATTCTAGAAGCAATTTTTTTTAATGAAAAAATTCACGGCAGAATTTAGGTTGCTTTATTTTTAGAACTGGGAAGAGAATATATTTTGTGGTTTAGGAGCTGTTTTTTATATTAAAACAAGTACAAAGAGAAAAAAATGGTAACAGTGTATTAAAATATTACCTTAGGAGATATATTCTGATATTCTGCTCCCCACTCTTTACTTTACGTCAGATTTTGAGGTGCTTTCTCTGATTGGCACTATGTCCAATAATAGATTTTATCATTCCTCTGTGTCACCTCAGGGCAATAAAGGAAATTCAATCAAATCGAGTCAATACATCTAGGATAGTGTTCGACAGGATGGACCAAATCATGTTCTCTGAACTGCAAACACCTTCTGGAAGACTTCAATGGGAGGTGCTAGGTGCAAAGAAAGCCTTAATGTGATGTCTGATTAAACAGATACAGAGCAATCACCTCCAATCTCCTTGTCTGGGCAACTGAACTTCCAGAGCTATAGGATATATGCTTGTGGCTAAAAGGAAACCAGGATTCTATCTCTAGATTTTCTTCCCCAGTAAAGCATAGTTCAGGAGTGGGCTCCATTTTAATTTTGTTTCAGTTGATTTTTATTCTTAAAATACATATTTTTGTATAACGACAATAACAGTTATTTAAATTATATATGTAAGTTTATATATAAATATAATTAAGCTAACTACATATAAAATATTTGTTTAAAATATTAGCCTCCTCCTGCAATTAGTGATTGTTTTATTTATCGTAATTTCATATACATTTTGAAAGTTGGCATTGTTGTTTAAGGAAGAAAGTATTTTTAAAATAATAACATTGTGACTCACAAAGCATTATTTTCTTGGTTTATGTTACCTTTATTTTCATTGGACCATTATAGGTGAGGGTAGGAAACTATGAAATTATAATATAAATCCTGTTCATTTTGATCTCTAAAGGTTTAAAAATGCTTGATGTGGCCATATTTGCTAATTTAAAAGCTGAAAATATTCTTAAATGTGCTTGTTACTCAGATGAACTGAGAGGATGACACAGGTGCTTTGAATTCTGTTAGCAATGTCAACTGTTAAGTTTATGGATGAGAGGACTTTTCTTCCAGAGGATGCTGAGGAAATGAAAGATGACACTCACCAAATCATTCTAGTTTTGGGGTGACAAGGAATGGTTTAATGGGGGGAAAAAAAGATTTGAAGTCAAAGGAACCTGGCTCCTAGTGCCAGTTCTGATACTTAGTGGCTGTGCGAACTTCGGTAAATTAACCTCTCTGAGCTCCTCTCAAAAATGAGAATAATGATACCTATTTTACAGGCTTAATGGAGTACCACAAAGAATAAGCCTGGCACATATTAGGTGCCTAACTCACATCAATTCTTTATCTTTTTTAATAACTCAGGCAAAAGCTTTGGAGGGATGAAGAGGCTGGTGATAGTAACTAAAATGAGGTTTGGCAGTTAAGCTTTACTTTCTTTTCCCTGCTGCTCAGAACTAATTATGTGAACATTTATATTATACAATATAATATATAAGTATATATTGCAGAATATAATATATAAATATATTTATATTTATATTGTAAGTAAGTGGAAGGAATCAAAGAACGTCTGGCCTGTAGGTTTTCAGTGTCTTTCCCATGTATCATTGTGCTCTAGCCAAGGCACAGTCTGTGTGCCACAAGAACAGGGACTTGGTCTGACTTGTCCACTGCTGTATCTTTAGCACTTGAAATGGCATGCAATTAATAGTAGTTGAAATAATTTTAATTAATTAGCTTAACTTATTAAATAAATTTAATTTGCAAAGCTATTTGTTGAGCTCCTACCCAATGTGAGGCACACAGCATCCATTTATTACTCATCTAGTAAATAAAAGTACAGCTTGATATTTGAGGAAAGGGTCTGGACACAGGATGATGGCCTGGCATTCCCAAGGTCTCAACCATCCATAGCACAGGCTGCACAGTCCACATGAAGTCCTTAGTTTATTACTCAAGTCAGGGATTCTGTTAAATAAAATAATGTTAAGCCAGGAGCATCTCCTTTAAAATGCACATGAGATTTACCAATTTTTGGAGAATCCTAAGCTCGAGATCATGATCCAGACTGTGCATACTGTGGGGATAAGATGCTTGTGGGTCAGAAGCACGAGAAATGGGTCACCAAGCATTGCCATATTCTGCAGATAACACTCTTGATGTTTACCAAGGATGGGTCAAGGCAGGTGCTTATGTTGGGCGAATTAGTGAGTGTGCCAGAAAGGGCTGCTCACCTTTAGTTGTACTTTTATTCATCATGATTTGGAAGTGGCTTAGCATCGATAACTCAATATACCATTTCTCTCCCCTATTCTTATGTCACTGTCATTACCAGCTATAAACTTTATTGAGTATTATCTGTGAGCACTTGGAGAATTCTTTCTTTATTACACTAAAATGGCAGTGCCAAAGAAAAGAGAACACATTCCACACTATTTTAGGATAAATTTGAGAACTAGATGAACCAAATGACCCCATGTCCAATTCCTCCTTTGTTCTCTTCAGGTGCAGATAAAAGGGCATTTGTTGAAGAGACAGCTCTCAGGTAGTGGGCTCTGGGTTAGACCCAGCAAGGCAGTTTAAGGACCAAGAAGAATCTCAGGGACATCTAGCCGTGGGTCTGAGGAAATATTTAGTACTTACAACATTCACTTATACCTCAAGTCTTAATCTCTTTTCAGATACCTCTGTTTAATCAATCTCAAATCAACATCTGGCTTTCCAGGGTCAAGGTAGAGAGCTCTAGAAGACATAGCCAATCCATTTGATACATTTTAGGGAGATAATAAATAACCTCACAATTGCTTGATATGCTTCTGTGATATAAAGATTCAGAACATATCCATTCATTGCCTCATGCATTTAAAAAATAGAAATAACTGAAGATACAAAGGAAATATCAGGAAACACTATTTTTCTTTTAAAAAAAAAGGTAAAAGTCAGAATCTTAGAAGCTTAAGAGAGTAGGAAGTAAGACTCAGTTGGATCCATTCAATTCAGACTCCAAGAACAACAAAAATAATTTTTAAAATGATAAGAATAATATACAGGCCAAAACTCAGATGTGATGTGCAACTGCCAGGTCGATTTTCAATTACTTTTCTCTGATGTGTTCATTTGTTTCTTAATGTGCTCATCTTGCCCATTAAGAATAATTAGCAGCTTTGCTTAGAGATTTTCTGGCTTCTGGCAATGCTTCTCTCCTTTTTTTGTTGACATCCACTTTTACTTTTTAGAAAGTAATTTTTGGATAATATCCTACAACTGCTCTGTAATTTAGGCTTCCTAAAATTTTAAAGGAAAGATGTAAACAGTAATTTTTAAATGAGTTTGTTTCGATCTATACACATCAACAGTATGTGATTCGGTGAATTAGTTATTCTTACAGAATGCAGGCACACAAACAGAAAAAAAATTTTTCATTCATATTAACCTCTCTCAGAAAACAGCTTATGATGAATGCCAGCTGTAAGCTCTGTTAGCAAATCAAGAATAACATTAGTATTAAAAGCAGGAAAAAACACATTGCCAATTTTTAAGGCTTTACACATGCTTTTTTCTCTTAATTAAAAAAAATTAGATCTAGTTACAACAGAAAAAGGCACACAAACATACAACAAAATGATAAAAACTGAACTCCATCAGGTAAGTCCTAAGAAATGAAATAAAACACACTACCAGTTTTGGTCTGCATCCTGAAAGGACCTACTTTATCTACATTGTAAAGTTCTTCCCCTCCTGCCCTTTGGCACCCCGCTATATTAAACCCATTGTAAAACTCAGCACAATAAAGCACTCTCAGGGCTGAGCTTCTGAGGACCAAATGTTAAAAATCCATTTTCTTGGGAGGGGGCTGTACCAATCATTTCTTTGAAAGGCCGGCAGAGTGAATACAGAATCTGAGATTTCCTCTCTGATTTCAAGAGCTAGCATGGCATCTTTGCTGTTTAAAGTAAAGTAAAGACGCCTTAATTAATGATATTAGCATTGCTTCCCTTCTTTGGAAGCTCTGTAGTTTAGCTCAATAATAATTTTAGTACAGTCAAATTTACCTACTGACTACAGATGCTTCCTATAGTTTAATAAAAGTTCTAATTGGTTTCTGATTAAATAAGACACCTGCTGACTTGAGAAAAACCTCAGGTTGCTGGGCCCAATCTGAAAGTTTCCATGGCTAAAATGACCTTCTCTTGTCTAATAATCCTGCTTTTTTTCCCCCAAAAAAACATCCGTTGGGGCTGAGCCAGCATACCTGACTTCCTCTTGCTCTGTCTTCCCTGACATGTGGAGGAGGAGTACAGTGAAATGATACAGTGCACAGAATAACTTAGAATACAGCAGAGTGAATGAAACAACATCAGCTCATCTTCAGGAATATTTTGAGAAACTTGCGACAGTCTGAAGATCATGATTAAAATCCTGCATTTTAAAAAAGGAAGCACCTTTTGTGATCTCTTTCTCTTGTGTGAAAGGCCAAGATTGTGATTGGCTGTTTTTTCTTCCTTAATTTTTTTTTTTTTTAAGTCTGTCAGGCAATTAGCTGGGTGGGGCTCTGTGGAGCACACAAGTGCTGCTGAACAATATTAGCTACTGTGCCTCTTGTACCTCCTTTCTCCTGTCTGAGCAGCCTGATGGAGCTGCTGCAAATTTTATTTTTAAAGAATTACATAGCAGAGGCAGAAAAAGAAAATTGAAGGTAGGTTTTATGTAAGATGCCACAAAAATCAAAACTGCTTTGGCATTTTGGGGGTCTAAAATTCAAATAAGTAGATTACCTCCTTCATAATGTAAATGTAAGGCACACCAAAAAATCCAAAGCAAATATATCTTCCACTTTTCCTCTCAATTTCTAACGGCTGTTAACTGCCCCTGAACAAACTAGCTCGATTGCTAAAGTAGCCACAAATTATGCTTGCTTTCTTAGTTAAAGTACAGTTCAATTTTCATGAACTCTGTGTACATATTAGTAAAGCATAATCTAATATAATGGGGTTTGAACTGTACTAGCATAGCAGGAAAAAAAAAAAGAGATAGATTTATAATCCCAAATGAAAGGAAAAAATGAAAAACTGATAGCTGTTTCCTGTGGGGGGATATAGGTACCTCCTCAGCAATTATTAAAGTAGGTACAATATTACGTGGTACATACCCTATCAAAGGCAAGAAAAGTAATAACGAATGTGAAGCTGGAAATTAATTTTTGCAAGCAATATCCAATATAATAAATTTGAAATTATTTTATACTGGCAAATTTCAATAGAAATAAAAGGACAAGAATGCTTGAAAATTATTAAGAAACAAAAATGTTCTTATTGTCTTGAGTGGTCCACAAATCATAAGCTCCTTTAATGGGAAGTGACTATAAAAATCTATCAAAATAAAAAAACCACTTAGTCGTATCCAATGAATTCCATATATTTCTACTTTTTCTTAATTACTTATCATGTGTGTGGGGGGAACTCTTTTTTTAATACCCCATGCTGTCTTTCTTTATATCAATTGTTACTCAGTCGGGAAAAAGGAATGAGCACAACAAACCCGTTTTCTATCTGAATAAGGATACTTCTGATGGCCTTTTCATTCCCATCAGTTAACAGAACTTCTTTGACATCTGCAGAAATAGCAACCTGAAAAAAAAAGGGAGCACAGCAAACAATGAGCAAATATGCTTGTCTGTGTGGAAGTGAAGACAGGAGTGACAAGCCTTCAGTATCATGCTTCCTCACCTATTTCTCTGTAACAATCTTCAATCTTTTTTCATTTTATGTCTGCATTATTTTAATCATTCAATCAAATCAGTCAATACTTTTATCATTCCATTTGCGGGAGCCTCTATCTTGCTATCATTCTGTTCGGTAATTGCATTGTGACAGCGGATGATGGTATTCTGAGAGGCTTTCATTTGTGGGCTTCTGTTTATCTAGTAGAGCCATCATACAAGGCTGTCACTCTGCCTTTCAGCTTGCTTCTGTCTGACTGCCTGATGCCCTTCATATAACTTTGCATTGCAGGCAGATGGCTTTGTGAGGGTAATTTTTTTGTGAGCTTTGACATGCTCGCACATTGGGCTGTAACCTCGACACATTGTGTAAGAGCGACAGGTTTGTCAAATGCCAATCAGTGTAACAATATGCTTTTATTTGTAGAGACATAAAAACTTGTCTAATGCACTGTGCTGCTACATAATATCTCCTGAATACATGACTCAGAACCCAGAGAATGGGGAACGACGTTCCTGAATGGCCAATCTAATTCAAAAGAATCTAATTACTGAGCGCTCTGGATCATGTTTGTTGGTGTAATAATGCAGGCAAAACATTAGCAGCTATATCATGGTGCTCCAACTGTGATTCGCCGGGCTATTCCTGTATCTTAGCAAATGGGACTATAATCTGAAAAAAAAAATGCTTTCGCTATGGCAAAGACAGACTGTGCGAGGCCTGGAATGTCACAACAAGCGATATTGACTACACTGAGGTAAAATGTTTCTGCTCATCGAGGCAACCCTAAAATCAATATGATCCGAAAGTAAGTCAATCTAGAAGGTCTCTCAAGACCCGACAGCTTGACCGCAGCTGATGCTGTTGACGGTTCTCTGACCCAGCAGTTGGAGGCCCTGGAACATTTTTCCTTTTGTTCGTCTCTCTGAATGGGATTGGAATTGAGAAAAGACCTACCATGAGCCCAGCCAAGCATGTCATGCCACCCCCTAGCTCACACACAGCAAGGTCCCTGAAAGAGAGAAAAGAAATGGTAGAACCCATACAAATTAGATGAAAATGGTCAGAGAGATATATATGTTACAAGAACAAATTGCCATCTGCAGTGAGAACGGCGCTACCAGGAAGTTGTAGAGACATGACTAGGCTACCTCATGTCGTTTTGCGTTTTAAAAATAATTATGAAATAGAAAAGTCACAAAGCAGGCAAATCAGTGGGGGTTCCCTCATTAGTGTTCACTGCAACATTACCACCGCTGAGCTGAAAAATCTGAGAAGGTTCCCTTTTTTTCCCTTGTCAATGGCGCTGTCTTTTAGAACTAAACTAGCTAGAGTAGCGAAAGATAATTGTTAGGAAAGGATAACACTGTTAATCCACATTCATTCCTTCAAAAACAGTGAGACAAGTAAATGAAGAATATATGTGAGTGTGTATATACCTATATTATAGTCACATACACAACACACACACACAAATAGATGCAATCTTGAATTTAAAAAAAAATTCTAAAACAAACCGAAACATTTTGTAAAGCTGAACCACCCTCTTAAAGAACAATTACACAAAGAACATTTAGCAATTAACACTTAAATCACAATTGACCCCAACACAACACAGTGAATAAACAATGCAGGGACATAATATGGTTAAGCCAGCAAAACCTGGCTAACGTAATGACTGGGCTCTGACTTCACTGCTCAGAAGTAAAGCGGCTCAGAGTTAAAGCTGACAGTCTAGGGTGGCACTCTGCACTTACCTTCCCCTTTGTGCCTATATGTCAGCCCTCAACGTGTGACATTCTCACCCTGGCCCACTGGTCGCTGATTGGAGCGCCAGTCAAGCTTAAGCACAGCAAGATGAGCAAATGCCAGACTCCCAGGGCAGCTCTGCAGCCCAAATTCAATACTGCCCTGTTCTTATTTCATTTGCTTAGACTCTTAAGATTGTTTCTTCTTCCCAGTTTGGGAAGTTTATTACCTCAACAGGAGAAAAAAAGCAGAATTAAAAGGGAGGGAGAAGTAGAAAGAGAGGGAAGGAGAGAAGAAGCTAAGCGAGGACATTCATATTTCGAAATACACTTAATGAGTAATTAGTTGTTCAAAGCAATTATAGACTAGTTGGTAAATATGGACCCATAGAGCTTCAAAAAACACATATTATTGACCAAAACTTGTAAGTACATATTATTAAAACACACATCATGATCACTAATGGCTTGTCTGTAATCATAATGGGCTATTCAGGAAATATATATTGGATGACTTTTATAAAATGAGAATTAAAGTGAAAAACCTATATTTTCTGGGTATACCAAACAGCTTCAGAAGTTTTAAATAAAAGGATTTTTTTTCTTTTTCCGAAATTCCAACCAGGGGTTTGATCTATAATGCACTATAATGCACACTGCCAGTTGAAAACATTTATTTCTGTAGCATGAATCCATAATAATAATTTATATTTTATAAATACATATTGTTAGGTATATAAAATACCTTTAAAACCAGGGTAGGGTGGCATCTTTAAATAATAGCTGTGGGGTATTTATTTATGAAATATTCTGTAGTGACTTCCCTAGCAGAAGTTTAAAGAATGTCTTTATTGTTTTTTTTTGACCTTCACAATCAGTAAGGATTGATTGGAGCTTCACTTTTGTTTCCCAAAATCAAAGTGAAATAAAATGCCTTGAGTGGAAATCAAAAGCCTTTGACATATAGCAGAAAGCTTGCTGTGCAATATTAGTACCCAAAGGCAATTCAGATTTCTTTTTCAGAAGCAACATGTTTTCACCATGAACTTCTTTTCCCTTTCCTTCTTTCTTTTTTTTTTTATTTCTTTCTTATATTTTTTAACAATTAAATTTGAAGAATGTAATCACGGCAATCTTTAACATGCAGATACAATACCAATAATGGGCTAAAAAATATCTTCTTAAGTGCAGCTTTGTACCTGAATGCATTACTGTGCTTGAGGCAGTAGTAAGCCAAAACCTCTTCAGCCGGCCAGACACCTGGAAAACAAGAGGACAGACTTTTTTATTATAGAAGTCGCTTCTGTAATCACTCTCTATAGTCATTCTCTTAAGAAGTGGCTTTTAAAAATAATGCTCAGTACAAGCTATTTCAACTTGAACCAAACTTAACATAATTATTACTAGTAATATGTCGTATCACATGAGTTTCTTCTGTTGTTGATCATAACCCTTTTCCCAGAAAATAGTAAAATATCCTAAATAAATTTTACTAAATTTCAATCACAACAAAACAGCAAAAACAATTACCAAAATTACAAATATCAAAAGTTAAATCTTAATGGTATTTCAGGTAGATCTTAATCTTGTATACATGAACCTTCTTTTCAGCCAGTTCATAAGCATCAGTTGAAGACCTACTGTGTATGCAGCCCATGTTAGGCAAAAATAAATGGAAAAATCACTTGAAGGAGCAAATAATACCATTGAGGTCATTATACTTTTTTGTTTGTTTCCATACTAATGTTTTTTAATATGCATTAACTATTTATGCACAAATTATTTCCTTTCTTCAATTAAAAAATATAAAACTGGAGTATAAAACTAAGAAATTTAACTTTCACCAACTTTGGCACATCTTTAAATTTAACAATAATCCTACCCTACCACCCAATAATCCTACTAAATTCCATGGATGGGCATTTTCTAAAATCATCATCTGTAAATCATTTATTAGAAGACATATATAGTCTTCATAAATAAATATAAATTGCTTAAAGAGAAGACAAACATGCTTGGAAATTTTAGTTTCCAGTGGTTATCACAGGATGGTAGGGTTACAAATGCCCTTAATTTTTTTCTTTATACTTTTTGTATTTTCCAAAATTTTTACAATGAAGATGTATCACTCTTATAATCAGAATGATCAGAATAAACTGTTGTGTTATTTGCCATCGAGTTGGCTCAGACTCCTGGCAACTCTGTGAATGAGTGATGGCCACAGTGTCCTGTCCTCAACAGCCCTACTCAGCTTCTGTAGTCTCATGCCTATGGCTTCCTTTATGGAGTCAATCCATCTCATACTTGGTCTTCCTCTTTTCCTGCTGCCTTCTACTTTTCCCAGCATTATTGTCTTTTCCAAAGAATCCTGCCTTCTCATGATGTGCCCAAACATAATAAACTACAGCCTTATAAAAATTTTGTTTTCCCCAACTGGTCAGATCAAAGATCATGCAGGGCACCAGGCATCCTGCACTGCCTGAGGTTGAGAAGGCTCTGGAGTCCTGGGGAAGAGCCGTGAATGTTTGCTGTCTTAGCACTAAGCACTCTTCTAATGGGGCTTGATGCTAAGTTGAAATACCTAATGAGACTTAGTTTTTTTCTCCCAAATGCATCTCCTCCTTAGAGGAGTAAGAAATCTGAACATTTCAGAGAAGAGGATATCAAAGAAATGGTAAGTAAAATCCTAAGAAAATCAATGGGTAAATATATGAACAGCAAAGAGATGATTCCATAGAGCACTTGCTGCAGGAAAGTCCAGTCAGGTGTACTCACTAGCTCAGCTCCATGGCATTTCTGGTAGAAATGACAGTTTGGAGGAAAAACAAAGTAAACCAGCAAGAAGTTTTTGGAGTCATATTTAGGAGGAAAGTCAGAGAGGCAGCTGAGTGTAGCACTTAAGATCACAGGTACTTTGGAACCAGATTCTTTGACTCCAGTCCCAGCTCTGCATTCCCTAGCTGAGTGACCTTGGATAGGTTACTTAACCTCTCTGTGCCTCAGGTTCCTTGTCTGTAAAGTAACATAATTGTAGTATCAACCTCACAGAACTGTTGTGAGAATTAAATGTAAAATATATGAAATGTATAGAACAGTGCCTAACTCATAGCAAGCTCAAAGAAAAAGAAAGATAGTTGCTGTTAATGTTATCCTCCTGCAAAGGAGGATAGAAGAGGGGAAGACAGAATAAGTGAACCCAAAACAATTATCCCAATAACCAGAACAGATGGAGAACCTTTTGGACCTGCTCCTACTCATGAGCTTTGGCACGAGCCCAAAGTCCTAATACCTGGCATACTTCCACATAAAAAGAACTCTTTAAGACACTAAAGTACACAATAAAAATCTCTGAAGGAAGAACCCAAGACAGTGTTCTACACCAAGTAGATATAATCACCACAATAATGACTTTCTTTATGCCTTTAGTAGATGGTTTTGAGGTTTAAAAAAATAATGATAGGGGAAGAGTATTTAACTAAAATTCAAGCCTTGATTAAGTACAAAAATGTGACTTCTAAAATGTATAGTCTTTTTAGATAGTTTTACAATTTTCTCAAAAAATCATAGAGGTTGATTTTTAACTCAATTAAATACAAAAATTACAAAGAACAAAGTTTAAAAATCACCTAAAATTCAACCACTAGTATATAATTACTGTTAACATTTGGGACATCATTCTAAAAAATCTCTCTAGGCATAAAGATATTTTACACGATGAGACTTTATCATGCAGGTATTGAATAATCTGATTTCACCCCACTCAGTATGTGATGGATGGCTTCTCATGACAATAAAAATATACTATACCTGCATCATTATTTTTAATGACTGCCTAGATATTTTATGTCTGCATCATAATTTATTTAACCAGTTTCCTCTTGATAGACATTTAAGTTAATATCTAAATTTTTGATATTATGAGATTATAAACAGTGGTACAGTGAAGACACATTTTTTTCCCAACATATGATTTTTCTCTTTAGGTCAAACACCCAGAAATGGGAAAACTGGTCAAAGGCTATGTACATTTCACATTCTGATATATGAAACTGTCCTCCAAAAAATTTGTACCAAACTACACCCCCAATAGGAGTGTTTATTTCCTGACAGCCTTGGCAACATAGGGTTTTGGCAACCTATTTTATTTTTGCTAATCTGTTAAGTTTTTTAAAGTTATCTCTGTGCAAATCAAAACAAGAATGAGATACCACTTCACATCCTCTAGGATGGCTATAATCAAAAAGTCAAACAATAACAAACGTTGGCAAGGATGTGGAGAAATTAAGTAAAATGGTACAGCCACTCTGGAAAACAATCTAGCGGTTCATCAAAAAGTTAAATGTAGAATTACCATATGACCCAGCAATTCCACTCCTAGGTATATATCCAAGAGAAAAGAAAATATGTCCACACAAAAACTTGTACACAGATGTTCATAGCAGCACTAGTCATAATACCTTAAAAGTGAAAACAACGCAAATGTCCATCAACTAATGAGTGGACAAATAAAATGTAGTATGTCCATGCAATGGACTATCATTTGGCAGTAAAATGAAACAAAGTACTGATTCATGCTACAACATGGATGGAGCATGAAAACATTATGCTAGGTGAAAGAAGCCAGACACAAAGGATCACCTGTTGTATGTTTCCATTTATATGAAATGTCCAGAATAGGCAAATCCATAGAGACAGAGTATAGAGTGGTGGTTGTCTAGGGCTGGGATGGTTGAGAGTAAATGAGTAGTAACTGCTAATGGGTATGAGCTTTCTTTTAGAGATGATGAAATCTTCTAAAACTGATTGTGGTGATGGTTGCACAACTCTGTGAATATACTAAAAACCACTGGGTAAATTGTATGGTATGTGAATTAAATCTCAATAAAGCTGTTATTTTAAAAAGTTTTCTCATTCCTACTTGTGGAAATAGAAGGGTCTTTTTAAAAAGGTTTAATTTTTAAAGAAGTTATACATATACATAGTTTAAAGAGCCATTGAGTTCTATGAGAATGATTAAGACTAACGTAGTACCCAGCCCCTCTCTGCAATCTTTATCCTTCCTCAGAAACTACTACTTTCAACTCTTTTAGCTGATTCTTCCAGTAATTACGTCCATATTTCTATATAATATATTTGTGTGGTTACTTTATGATTTTTCAGTTTTAGGCAAAATCTACTGACCCACACTACAGAAGATAAACATTTTTTGCTTTTATCTATACCCCTTTCCTCACACCACACACACCATGCTCCTTATCCACCCTCTCCTCACCATTTTCCTAATATAAATATATTATAACTTTGGAAGATCTCTACTCATTGTCAATTTTATAATGACCATGAAATAAAACTGAGCCATGTAGTAAATAATAATTGCTTTTTCTCTCATGTATAATTTTTTTTCCTCTGGAGTTTATAATTGCCTTTTTTCTCTCATTTGCTAAAATTTTTAGTCAATCTCAAAATCCAGTTGTCAATTTCTCTCAGTACATTCATTCACATCGGCTATTCTTATCAATCTCACAAGGAAATCTCTCCTGTTGCCTTCTGACTTGCCTTAGTCTGGACTGAATGCCCTCTATGCTTGGTACACAGCTGATATCCTGGAATCAATCTTCACTATCATTCCAGGCTTCCTTTTGCCCTTCTCCTGTGTTCCATTTCTTGTTTCCCCTATCCTTTGTCTTCCTTTCTGAGTTTACGTTCTCATTTTAGCGCAACATATCCTCCAGTAACTTCTTGAAAAAAAGTGTGGGGGAGGTAAATGTTTGAGAACTTGCATGATTCAATGGGTAATTTCTATCTGGAAACTCCACGTTCTTCAGTTCTTGGAAAGTTTCTTGGGAAGTTCCATTGATTATTTCCTTACCTTCATTTTTATCTGTCCTCTTTCTCTGAAACTCTTATAATTTGGATGTCGAATTTCCTGGACTTATCCTCTGATTTTCTTATAATTTCTCTCCTGCTTTCCATCTCTTGTTGTTTTTTACTTTCTTGGAAATTTCCTCAACTTTATCTTCCAACCCTTTTATTGTTCTTTTCATTTATGCCATTGTTGATAGTAGTTCTCTGAATTTTTCTTTTTTAGAACATCTTATTCCTATTTCATGAATGCAGTATCTTTTTAAATTATTTGAAAATATTAATTATAGTTTCTTTTAAGTTTTCTCATCTTTACATAGCCTGTTTTCTTCATGTTGCTTTTCTCTGTTTATTGGTTTTGGTATCTGTCACATTAAAAGCTTTCCTCAGATATCTGG